GCGGGCTCGCGGCAGCATAACTGTCTCCTGCACGCGAGAGGAGAGAAGGAGAAGAAAGGTCGTAAATGTCAGTTCAGTTGTAAGTTCATTCTTTATGTGCGTATGGTGTGCGATGTGTATTGTCTTTTATGATATTGTAATCATTGTTTTAACAATGTACGAGGCACTGCGAGCTGACATCGCATTTGTCTCTCGTGCTTTCACTGCGTGATGTGTGCAGTGTAACTGTTATGTCCCCAAGTTAGTTTTTGTCTTATATTTATATCATATATTAGAATATCACATCAGAAAGAGTGCCGTTTTCCCGTGCATAATTCCAATTGTGATATTTATGTTATACAACTGTTAAATTAACAATAAGTTAACATTGAGTTACTTTTTAGACACAATATTGTCAATATTGTTTGTTTTCCCTTTATTTCGCCGACTATAATTTCAAAATGAAACCGTAGCAGAGTCTCAATGCAACCGACAGCGATGATTTCTTGACTGAAATCCGCGTTTTGAACGAATCACTTGCTTCTTTCTCGAATGAATCAGCCGTTTGAACGAATCGGTTGAATGAATGACTCCCTCAACTCACTTATTAAGACAGTGATTTGCCGCTGCGGTTTCATATTTAAAGTACCCTTTAAATAAAATGTTAAAATTAGAAATCATTTCATATTTAAATATTGAATATTGATTTAAAAATATATATCTCATAGCTTTATTTATGCAGTTGTAAATGGAGTGTAAATAAATTAATGCCACTTCTGATGCCGCTTCTGTCACCTCTGCACTGCAAAGATGGATTTTGAATGAATGATTTAATTTGACTGTAACAGTGGTACTGTATGATTATTATATAATTAAGTATTATTGTATAATTACTGTATAATTTAATTTGAATGATAGTATTTGACATTAAAGGTGGTGCATAACTCTAAATAAGTTTAGAAAAAATGTCCATATATAGGTAAAAATGCCCCTGAAAAAATCAATTTAAGGTGGCAAATATTGCCCCTTAATTAAAATATTAATTTCTGTCACTGCTGTGAACTGACCACTGCATAGAATATGAAAAATATGAATATCTTCGTGAGTCAGCTGTCAACAACAGACCCCAACAGACCTAGACCTAAACAGACCAAACCTATAACACAATCAGTAAAATATCATCTAATTATTATCAACAAAACGTTGAAAATATCAAGATATATTTTTGTCAATACTGCACAGCCCTAATGTACGGTATTAATTTTGATTTCTTCAGGTCTTAAAAAGGTCTTAAAAAGCCTTAAATTTGACTTTCAAAAGTGTGCAGGAACCCTGTGAAAGTGAATTAGTTGACTAGTGATTGATTCATTGTTTAATTTGGTGAAGGATTCCTTAGATTGATTCAAACGTTTGCGTTTCCTGAATTGGATCACGCAAGTCTTGCTTAATGTTTGTTTTTTAGTGCAGCTAAGACAACACGATAGAAAGATGTGTTTTCTTGGCATTATTTCATAGTACACAATCTTTTGATCTGATCACATTCAATTCTGACTGCAATCTCACAACTCAGTGAAAATATGATTACTTTTGCTATAGCACAGTAGTTTTAGCTGCTGAATGGCTTTGCCGAAAACACTGTTATAAATCCACCAATAATCCTCGTTTGAGACATTTTTTTTCAATATCTGAGCAAAACTGAGCTCATTAAATGTAAAAAAAAAAAGAAGAAAAAATAGAATCCAGCAGTCTACTACATTTTTTTTTTTTTCTTGCAGGATTAGTTTGCATGTGCTCAATAAACAGGGGATGTGTGTGTAATCTCCTTTTGGCTGCTTTCCTCGGTTGCTGCCCGCAGGATTGAGTTGGCGTGCTACAGGTCACCTTGTCCATATTTTATCAAAATAACGCAGAGTAGATTAACTCTACTGATCTCAAGCTTTCCTCCCAAACAGAACAAACTCCTGCTAGCCTTTCTCAGCCCAGTGAACGTCTGAACTTTGGGATTTCTCCCAGGAAGTCTTTGAGGCTTATTAGCATGCAGAAAGAGTAGTCTGATAATGTAGACATCTAACTTTACTGCCCCGTTCCTTTAATAGTTTGCATAATTGAAGGACATAGAGGGTCACCAAATGAAATTTACTTCCTTAACTTTGCCAGAGCCCTGTGGTACTGCTAAGATCTTGGCAAAAGTTGTGCCCAGCAGGTTTTGCGTTAACCTGCCCTCTGTTACAGCCCAGCAGCGTGGCATCATTAGGTAGGCTGGGAATGGATCTGGCCGTCTCCCGGCTCCGTATGGCCTCCAGCTGCTGTCATCCGTATCAAGCGCAAACACTCAGAAGTGGCCAAATAATGCTTTACCCTTCCACAGGAAAAACTATTCGAGTTCCAGAAATCTCATGCAGAAATTTCCATTTGCCCCTGCAAACGGAGATGTATGGGAATAGCCAGGGAATAGTCTTGTTGTCTATATGCCCATTAGCAGATTCAGAGACTCATCAGTATCAGCTGTGAATTCACAATTAAGTCACCCGCAGTTCTCTCAACATGTTTACCTGTGTGACAGGCTTGGGTCTGGGGGGCAGCGCGTTCAGACCTCAGTTTTTACTCTCACGCAGAAATAGGAGATCCACTGGAGAGAATAAGTACTTAAAGGGTTAGTTCACCCAAAAAAAATGATGTCATTAATGACTCACCCTCATGTCGTCCCAAGCCCGTAAGACCTCCGTTCATCTTCGGAACACAGTTTAAGATATTTTAGATTTAGTCCGAGAGCTTTCTGTCCCTCCATTGAAAATGTATGTACGATATACTGGCCTTGTCCAGAAAGGAAATAAAGACATCATCAAGTAGTCCATGTGACATCAGTGGGTTAGTTAGAATGTTTTGATGCATCGAAAATACATTTTGGTCCAAAAATAACAAAAACAACGACTTTATTCAGCATTGTATTGTCTTCCGGTTCTGTTGTCGATCCGCGTTCAGTGATGCTGCTGACGTAAGACACTGCTGACGTGTTATCAGTGCGCCGAGCTTCGTTTACAGTCTGAGAGAGACGCACGCTGTAAACAAAACAATCTTCGCAAACATGTCTAAGGATTTCGACACAGAGGAAGACTTGCAATTTTTGCCCAGCCATATTTATTTGAACCCGAATACACGGACGCACCAGATACACGTCAGCAGCGTCACTGCGGACTCGTGAACGCGGATTGACAACAGAACCGGAACTAACCCTTTAAACAGAATGGCAATCATATTGCAGTGGAATATAAAAAACAAGCATTATTTTGTTTATTTATTTATTTATTGTCAATTCAGTTAAAAAATGGTCTGTATATGTAATTAAAAATGTATGATGGTGATGATAATAATTATTATTATTATTATTATAAGATTTTGATGAACACAAAACAAAAGATGATTTATCATTCATAGTGTATTATATATGTGCTACTTAATTTTATTTATCTGAGCTTTATATGCATTTTATCTGTATTGTTGTATTGTTTCCTTTTGTTTTCTGCCGAATAACATCAAACAAAGTGACTACCGATGGGAAAATTTGCCTTTCGGCTAACTCTAATGTTGATTAATGTACATTGTCCATTTTTAAATAGATCAGAAGTGCCCAAACTTATTATAACCAAAGGCCAAAAATCAAAATTGATTGAGGTCCGGGGGCCGAAAGTAAAAGGTGCATTATATCAAACTGTTATATTGAATTTAAAGTGGTTAACCTTGCTTCACCTTATTTATGATTTCATCATTTGAAAACATTAAGCAATCAGCTTAACTAATCCAGTTTTATTTTCAGTTTTATAGTACAGTGAGGCTTTATTGTTGTTTTTAATGATGTTTTAGTTACTTTTTAAACACCAACTGACATAATAAAATGAAATAAAAAAGAAAAGAATCTTGAACATTTAAGAAACAAAATAAACGTTTAAATTAATTCACAAATAAATTATGATTTATATTATACAAATGTGCAAAGTAGATTTGTATTTCATGTGACTGAACATTTACTGATTAAAATATAAAAATTAAGTATATTATTAATAAGGGAATAATAACCATCTTTAAATTATGCATGATAATTAAATGAACAACTAAAAGGCTGCAGTGTGAAATTACTTGCCTTAAAGGGACTCTGGACACTTGTCCATGGCAAAGCTGTATCTTGTTTCATACAAATGCAACTGGCACCGTCTCGGGTTTCATTTATTGATTACATTGAAACAAAGTGAAATTCAGTTCAGTATTCAGTTCACATTATCTCTTTCATAACACATAATAAACAAAAGACAAGTTACAGCACAGTGTATTCCCGCATACCGGTAAGCCTAATATATTGCAACTCCATGGGGACAAAAAACAAAAATGAACTTTGTTAAAAATTGACGCACACATTTAAGGATAATAATGCAGAAATTCAAACTTGGCAGCATGATTTTTCTTCATTTAACGTGTGCATTTGTTTCCTCAATCTCACATGCTCCACGTTTGTTGTGGCAGTGCATGTGTACATGTAGACGGCATCTGTAATAATAATACGCATAAATTATTATTCAATTTCATAATGCCCTTCATGATCAGATATATAATTTTTTCACTATTTTGAAGTGCCACATTTTAACAATATTTTGCATATAAATTGCTGTGATTGCCAACAAACGTCTATTTCAATGGCATGTTTTTTTTTTCGATGCTATATTTTTCCGCTCATGGCATGGGTCAATCAAATTTGGCCCATCGGCCCAGGTTTGGGCATCTTTGAAATAGATAACTAAAATGACAAATAACTAAGTCTGGCATTAGTGCAGAACCAGTTTTGAATTGTATTACACTTTCAAAAGAATAAAAAAAAATGAATACAAAAGGAAACGAATATCATAAAAGCATAGTTCTTATTAGATGAGTTGATATACATGCTTATCAGTGCATGAATTGAATTGTGTAAATGCATTGTGGTGAATATTTGTAATTGCTATATGAATTCTCTTTTGTTGTTCTTGTTCCAGAATCTTTCTTCTTTGTATCGGCGTCCTCTCGTACGCCCAGCGTGACGTTTGGTGACTCGTTTGACCTACAGTGCATCGTGAAGCCACGGCACAATCCCAACGTTCCTGCTGCGGTCACATGGCGCTTCCAGCCAGCAGAGGGCGATGGAGAGTTCCGAGATTTGGTGACGTTCACGCGGGATGGCACTCTGCAGTGGGGCGATCAACTGCTGGGCCTTGGCACGCGTACCACTGTGGATCGTACGCCCACTAACACCAACTTCCGTCTCAGCATCACCCGAGCCGGACGCAAGGAGGCCGGGACGTACCAATGTGCTGCCTTACTTTATCGGAGGAATTACGATGGCACCTGGAGCACGGTGGCCAACCGCACCTCCAACCCGCTGGGCATCAGTGTACTGCAGCCTGGTGAGTCTAAAAACCGCTTCTGTCGCAGGAAAGGTGCATGTTAGGCTACCTGACTGCTTGACGGAGGGCAAGAAACAACCATGACTGTTCCGAAGCCACTAAATTACAGATAAGTTCCACTGACACCCTTTAGGGTTTGGGTTTATAACTTTGTATGCTCATGGCAGACTGCTGGAGTCACTCCCCCAGCCTTAAAAATTAGCATAAGCATTATAAAGAAGCACAGATGACAACTCACACTTTACTGTCACTACAGAAATAAAGATTTCACTGATAATGCACCATGTTGTAGTCTGGCCTAGTTTCACAACTTCCACCCTCACTAGTCTTCCACCCTCTTTTGTCATGTCTGCATGTGTGTGTTTCCTGAGATATTGGCCTCTGTGTGCTCATAAGAGTAATTGAGATGACTGGCGTGTGTGTGCAGCTGAGGCAGGCCTTCCTAATGGCCTGGAGTGCACAAAGAAGAGGTTGTTAATATCCTCCACACCAGAGAAAGCGAATAGAACAGAAGAATATGAATGGGGTGGGGGGGTCATTAGAACAAAAATTGGAGCTCATTAAATTTAGTCCCTCTGGACTTCAATCTCCGGACAGAACAATGTCACTCACAAAAGGAAGACCTCCTCACTGACCTCACACACACGTTTGTTTTTCTATCATGGTGGAACTTTCCATTGACTTCTGCTGTTTTATACTGAGCTAATTATATCATCCATCCTCTTCATTAAGACAATATTTTGTATATTTTTCAAGCTGTTTTTCTTCTGGGGATCACTGTCTGGTACCCACAACGTGGTGATTTCAGGTTTTACTGTCCTTGCGGGGATATTTGGTCCCCACAATGTAAGCATTTGGTCAGGTTGACCAACACAGAGAGTGTTAAATGGACCTGTGCCGGTGCCCATAATGAACCAACATTCATAATATACCCTTGTCACAATACCAACATTTCAGTAGTTAATACCAATACCAGTGAAATTTTACTTTTCCTCGATACAAATTGCACAGGAAATGCTAATACAGTATGTTATTGAACACATTGCTTTATTTAATTTTTTTTTTTTTGTAAATAAAAAGGTTTCTCATTTAAATTAGTATTAATGACACAGATACGGTGTACATTTTATGACATCCTCAGACCTCACTCGTATGACGAAAAGGCGTCATGCCTCACACTAAAAGGCTTCAGTCATTGGACAAAAAGGCATCACACCTCAGACTGAAAGGCTTCAGGTCTCAGGAAAAACAATGTCAGGTCTCTTACAATTAGGCATCGGACCAAATAGCCTCAGACTAAAAGGCATCAGACAAAAAGGCATCGGATGAAACGGACGCTGACAAAAAGGCGTCAGACATAAAGGCATTGGACGAAACGGACTCAAGGCCCCGATATATTCACTGCGAAGTTCTTTTTCTTCTTTGCTTAGGGGTAAAACATAATTGAAAATACCTTTGCAGGTATATACTGTTAGTGACCATCCCGAGACCATCCACGCTGCTGAGAGCGGCGTTTCTACAAATTTGTGCACACAACAAAAATGACAGCAGTTAATAAAGCAACTGATCATAGTGATGATATATATCACATCACTATATATATATATATATATATATATATATACTGTACATATAAACACACACACACACACAACATATAAACTACTGTTCAAAGGCTTGTGTTCAGTATGATTTTTTAGCAAGGATGCATTCAATTAACCAAAAGTGACAGTAAAGTCATTCAAAATGGTACAAAAGATTTCTATTTCTAAAAAATATTAAGCAGCACAACCCTTTCAACAGTAATGATGAGTAGTGATGATGTAATGATGCTGAAAATGCAGCTTTGCTATCACAGGAACAAATTACAGTTTAATATATATTTAATACTTTAGTTTTAATCGTAATAACATTATTTACAATATTACTGTTTTGCTGTATTTCTGATCGAATAAATGCAGCCTTGGTGAGCATGAGAGGCTTCTTTCAAAAACGTAAAAAAAAAAAATTTGTACTGACCCCAAACTTTTGAATGGTAGTGTAATAAAATAATTAAATAAACAATACACTGAATACAATGCTAACAAATAAAAAGATGGGGGGCAATATCATTTTTTCTTCATATCTCTGCATTAGCACTTGCAGTTTAAAAGCGGCATAACAAACTCTGCTCTTAGTATGGTGTACAATTTGGGACATCCTCAGACCTCACTCATATGACGAAAAGGTGTCATATGAAGGCATCAGCTTTTTGTTATGAAGCAGAGGTGTAGTGTACAGGTACCTCATTCCAGCCACTATATTATTAGAGATAATAGAGCTCACTGGCATGGAAACACACTCCTGTCTGTCCTTTGTCAAGCCGTGGTCTCTCTACAGACTAGTCAGTACAGCAGCAGATGTGTTTATTCCACACCATTTTTTTCTATTTATTTTGTGCATGCAAGTGTGGGTGTATGTGTACATATATATTTTGTTGACATTATTTGTAACCTTGACCCTATGTACCATAAAGTTTGTTTTAATGTTTGGATGCATGAGACCTCATACCATTGCCTTCCATCTCTCCATTTCAAGTTGTGTTTGTAACTGTTGTCTAACCCGGTGTGGAGCTGAGCCCCTTAGTAAGAATCAATGCGATGACTTGGCAGGAGTTAATGGCTGGAAGACAACCCTGGGGGAGAAACATGCTCTGCTTTCCCCCGCAGGCCTGCTCCCTGCCCTCCGGCAACACTCAAATCAGTGCAGCCCGCTGGAGACTTGCTTGTAGGTACACTAGCTCATTTCAGCCTGAGGTTCCCTTGTTACAAAGCTCATCTAAACAGGATTGTGCTTTTGTGCTTGTGATGCCTTTTTGAAGATGGCTCAAATGATACAGACAGAAAAACAAATGCAATTTAAAATGCCATGCATTTGGAATATACTGAATGCATCAAAATATCCTCAAATTGGTTCTATTAACATCACCATTATTAGGTCTATTGGCATTGACAGTATTACCAGCATCATTGCCAATTTACCCCTTATTATACTTTAACTTCCTGAAATAATTTTTTTTATTGGTGCTGATGCATCACTTAAATCTATCAGGGGAACTTTTAGGGAGGATCAAACAACAAACACGTGTGACTTCATTTCTTCCATGGAAGACAAAAGGAGAATTTAATTGGTTGTTCTTTTCCATGCAATTAGAAGCCATGGACGTCTCCTTGGAGAAAACTCTCAAGCTTTTTAAGAACCGAAAAGCACCGTAAAAGTATTGATCGTTTTCTGAATCCATGTGACAGACAAAAACTATAAGTATGTGATAAACAACAATCCGTGCATTAGTTATTAAAGTGACAGCAGCCTAATATTCCTGCTGTTGCCTATATTTGTAATGTTTTAATATTTTTGATAGACAAATAGTATTTGATACACAAGCACTATAACGTTCTTTACTGAGAATGTTGCCCCTCTATTGAGCATGTAAATATGGATAATTTAGTCAGTGAGTTGAACTGGAGAACTAGATCAGGGTGATTTCAATAAAAGAATGAGTTGTCCTTTTTAAATCTTTGAACGATTTGCCAGGGCAGTTCTTCAGAATTTCTCCTTTTATGTTCCACAGAGGAAAGGAAGCCATACATGTTTGGAATGACATGAGGTAAGTAAATGACCAAATCAAATTTTTTGGGTGAATTATTTAAGCCTTTTTTAGCAATTAATATTTTCTGTATTATTGTAAGTTTTGTTGACATTACCTATTAGCTCCAGTAAAATGATAGCTGAAGTTGAAATATACCTGAAGGTCCTTTTAAAGTGAAGTGTGAGTTGTTGTGGATGTAAAGGCAGGGTGAGAGCCCAGATTCCTGTGAGCTTGTTTGACTTCCTGCTGGGCAGTCTGACACATTGATGTCTGCGAGACAGGAACTTCCACCTGATGCTTTGAAATGCAAGATAAATTGCCTTACGGTTTTGTTCCAACAAGGGTCATACAGGAAGTATTAAACCAGATAGAATAAAACAGAATGCATAGACTTGTGTAGGTTGTGTAGACTGTTAACACTTTGCAATTCATTGAGTTTTACTTCTATACTAAACACTGTACTACATTTGAAAATAATTCAAGATGCATTTTTTTCTATATGTATTATTATTGGGTTATTTTCATCCTACTACACTCATCATAAGTTGATCACTAAGAGGAACACTGGATCCCACAATGCAGTGCTTTTAACATTCTAGTTGTGTCTCAAATGACCCATTATACACTATGTACTTATGCACTATGCACTCAACTGTGTAGTGTATATGAACTTTATATGGTTATTTTGTCATTCAACATGATCAGAGTCTGTAGTTGCAACAGTTGAGTGCATGAAGTGTCCAACATTCCCCACTTTGTTTTTTTTTGGTTAACTAATTGCATCACCCGGGTATTTAAAGTGCACTTTTTCTTTTTGTAATTTTCAGCGTGAACGCACTTTTCACACTATGTATCCTAAGTATGTGAATTGGGAAGGACCTTCTGTTTGTTTTTAAGTAGCATAGTCAGTAAATCAGTGTAAGTTGACTACAAAATGAAAAAGAATCATTTAACTCTTGATGCTATTGTTAACTAAAACTAAATAAAGTATAATAAAATATAAATATTAGATGCATAACTTAAACTTAAAAAACAAACTAAATTGCTGTCTGGGTAACTAATTGAAATAAATAAGCTGAGGTTGAAGTACTAAAACTGAAAACAAAAATTAAAATAAATTAAAGAGATATATATATACACTACCGTTCAAAAGTTTGGGGTCGGTACGATTTTAAATACTTTTAAAATAATTCTCTTCTGCTAACCATGGCTGCGCTTATTTGATTAAAAATACAACAAAAATCAGTTATAGTATTAAATATTATTCCAGCGTAAATCAGCTGTTTTCTGTGTGAATATATGGTAAAGTGTAATATATTCCTGTGATCAAAGCTGAATTTTCAGCATCACCAGTGTCAGTGTCTTCAGTGTC